TCAAAATCGGAACAGGTTTCATCCTGGGAGCCTGGGTTCATCCTCTCCTGGACAGATCTCTTTGTTTTCCTGGAAGTCTATGGTATGGTCAACACTCTTCTCCAGCACCACAGCTCAAAGGCATCAGTCCTCATCCTTAGTTTTTGTCCAGTTCTCTAATGCATAGCAAGTAATTGCGAATACCATGGCCTGGATCAGGTGCACCTTCGTCTCCAGACTGATATATCTTGTTTCTCCTCAGTACTCTGGAGATGTCCCTGACAGCAGCAGACTTTGCCTGTGCAATTCATCCTTTCATTTCCTGTCTGCTGGTACCAAGAATCACAAGTTAATTGTGGAACCAACCAATCTGAAGTTACCAACGATTTTGATCTCTTCTCCATCCATCATGAAGCTGCTAACTGGCCCAGCAGTGAGAATCTTTGTTTTCTTGATGTCGAGCTTCAGTCCATATTGAAGACCACAGTCCTTGACCTTTTGCAGCAATTGCCTCACTCTTGTCCTCTTCAATATCAGCAAGCAAGGTTGTGTCATCTGCATAATGCAGGTCGATGAATCTTACTCCAATCCTAATGCCACACTCTTCTTCATAAAGTCCAGTCCACCAGATGATCTATTCTGCATATAGATTGAAAAGGTATGGAGACAGGATCCATCCTGACATACACCTTTCTTGATCCTGAATCATGCAGTGTTTCCCTGCTCTGTTCTGACTACTGCTTCATGGTCCCAAGTATAGGTTTCACATGAACAGAATTAAATGTTCTAGGATCCCCATTCTTCTCAAGGCTAACCACAATTTGTTGTGATCCACATAGTCAAATGCCTTTGCATAGTCAATGAAACACAGATACACATTCCTCTGGTACTCTCTGCTTTCAGCCAAGATCCATCTAATGGCTATGATGTCCCTAGCGTCACAGCCTCTTTTAAACCCAGCCTATATACCTGGCAATTTTCTGCTGATGTATTGTTAAATTTGTTTCTGGATAACCTTCAGCAAGATCTTGCTTGTATATGATATTAGTGATGTCAAGGGAACAAATACACATCTCTTCCAATCAGTTGGCCAGGTACTTGTCCTCCAGATTACTTGGCTTAAACCTGGTGAGTGCATCCAGGGCAGCATCTGTTTGCTGCAATATATCCATTGGTATTCCATCAATTCCCAGGGCCTTGTTTTTGTCAGTTCCTTCAGAGCAGCTTAGACTTCCTCTATCACCATAGGCTCTTGATCATATGTTGTTACATGAAATTTTTCAGTGTTAGCCAATTTTTTGGTATGATGCCTCTGAGTACTCCTGCCATCATCTTTTGATGCTTCCTGGGTCATTCAGTGGTCTTCCTTGAGCATCCTTAAGTATTGCAACTCGAGACTTGAATATATTCTTCAGCTTCTTCAGCTTAAGAAATGCCTAGTAAGTTCATCCCTTTTGATTTTCCGACTCCACCTCTTTGCATATTTCATTACCTTCCCATGCTGCCTTTTGAGATCTTCTGTTCAGCTCCTTAACTTACTGATTTCTTCCTTTCGCTTTGACTGCTCAGGGTTGTAGTGCAATATTCAGAGTCTCTTCTGACATCCATCTTGGTCTTTTCTTTCTTCTCTATCTTTGCAGTGACTTTTTACATTATTCATAAATTATATCCTTGATATTCTCCCACAGCTCATCTGGTTTTCCCTCATTTGTGCTCAAGGCTTCAAACCTGTTAATCATATTAATAGATTATAGATAGATAGATCGATAGATAGATAGGTATTATGTGCCGTTGAGTTGCCGGCAACACATAGCGACCCTGGGTAAACAGCTCTATACCCTTTGCCAACTATATTGTATCTGACACACCTACCCCCATTAACCCAGTCACTGAATCAATCCATCTCATCGAGGGTCTTCCTCTCCTGCGCTGTCCCTCCACCCTCCCAAGCATGATGTCCCTCTCCAAGGACTGGACCCTCCTTGCAACATGTCCAAAGTATGTCAGACAAAGCTTCAGAATCCTTGCCTCCAAGGGGCAGCTTGGTCTCACCCTCTCCAGGACGAACCTGTTCATTCTCTTATCAGTCCATGGTATAGTCAATACTTTGCTTCAACACTACTGCTCAAAGGCATCAAAACAGATGCTGCCCTGGATGTGCTCACCAAGTTGTGCCAAGAAATCTGGAGAACAACCACTTGGCCAACTGACTGGAAGCGATCTATATTTGTTCCCATTCCAAAGAGGGGTGATCCAACAGAGTATGGAAATTATTGAACAATATCGTTAATATAACATGCAAGCAAGATTCTACTGAAGATTATCCAAAAACAACTGGAACAGCACATCAGCAGAGAACTACCAGAATTGCAGGCTGGGTTTAGAAGAGGTTGTGGTACTAGAGGTATTGTAGCTAATGTGAGATGGATCTTGGCTGAAAGCAGAGAGCACCAGAAGAATATCTATCAGTGTTTCATTGACTGTGCAAAGGCATTTGACTGTGTGGATCACAACAAACTGGCTAACTCTGAGAAGAATGGGAATCCCAGAACACTTGATTGATTGTGCTTGTGCAAAACCTATACTTAAACCAAGAGACAGTTGTCAGAACAGAGCAAGAAAACACTGCATGGTTCAAAATTGGGAAGGGTGTACACCAGGGATGTGTCCTGTCTCCATACCTTTCCAAGCTGTATGCAGAACAGATTATCAAGGAGGCTGGGCTCTATGAGGAGAAGTGCAGCATCAGGATTGGAGGAGGACTCATCAACAACCTGTGTTATGCAGATGATACAGCCTTGCTTGCTGAAACTGAAGAGGACCTCAAGGACTGTGGTCTTCAGTATGGATTGAAGCTCAATATCAAGAAAGCAGATTTTCTCACCACTGGGCCGATTGGCAGCATTGTGATGGATGGTGAAGAGATTGAGATTGTTCACAGCTTTAGTTTGCTTGGCTCCACAACCAATACTCTTGGCACCAGGAGCCAGGAAATTAAAAGACATATTGCGATGGGAAAGTTTGCTGTCAGAGACTTCTCCAGAGTACTGAAGAGCAGTGGTGTCTCTCTGGAGACTAAGGTGCGCCTGACCCTGTCCAGGGTCTTTGCAATCACTTGCTATGCATCAGAGAGTTGGACAATGACTAGGGAGGATAGAAGGAGAATGTATGTATGTATGTATGTATGTATCTGTGTTGTGGTTGAGAATATACGCAGTAGAATGTAGACCGAGTCGACACTTTCGCATCATTCCTTGACTCACACGATTATTTCCATTCTCCCTTTCTGAGCTGTTCCTCCGCCCCTCGCACAAGTTCACGGTCCCCCCACCTGTGTTTCCTATCTGATCTTTTGAGTTGCTGGTGTCAGTTTTGATCCCATAAAAAATTTGATCTTTAAAAGCACAATGTTTAAGGCAAATACTCAAAATAGGCCAAGCTATTGTTTGGTTTTAAGAAGATTTGATTGAAGGGAGTTCTGGTGGCCTAGTGGCAAGAAAGCTGCACTGCAATCCCAAAGGTGTGCAGTTCGAATCCACCGGATATTCTGCTGGAGAAGGAAGGGCAATCTCTCCTGTGCCAATCAGATCTGATTTGATGTTACACAACAAGAAAATGGGAGGGGGGAGGGAAGATGTATACTTGGTTGATTTTGTTTGCTTGTTTAAGATTTAAAGGTTATCTCAGGGCAATATTTTCGGGACTTTATTCAGCCTCCATGACTACAGAAAGTCTAGAGTCTATGAGAATTTTAAATTGTTACACATTTCCCTCCTTTGTTCAGAATTTATCTGTAGAGTCATTGATTAAAACCTTCAGTGATGGTGGTTGGGTACCATCCAGTTTTTGTGGTTTCACCACTAAGGAGGCAGTTGTTCACAGAGGAGATTATCCGTGGATTCTGTATTCTTACTCTGTCCTTGGCTCTCCTTTGTTCTGTTTTCTTTGAATTTGTTGCGCGGGTCTTTCAGCTTGAGAAATGCTGAGCATGCTCTTCCTTTTTTTGTTTTCTCGCTCAAGCCTTTGCTCTTTGCACGTATCATCCCATGTTTTACTTTGTCTTCTTAAATCCAACTGAAGTCTTCCAGGCAGCTCTCAACAACAGTCAGCTCTCTCACATCATTTCTTCCATTCAGTCCAGCTTCTCTGCAGCCAAGAGCCGTGTTCACGGTCCCTTCTAACATCCATCTGGTCTTCTCTTTCTTTCCTGTCTTTTTAACGACCTTTTGTGTTCTACTGTATGGTGTTCTTGTTGCCTCCCACAACGTGTGTCTGGTTTGATCATTGGTTTTCTGTGAGTCAAATCTCTTCTTGAGATGATCTCTAAATCTAGGTGGAATATACTCGAGGTCATATTGTGTTCTTGTTCTAATTTTGAACAATGTGGTGGCCTGATTAATGTTATCCAGCAGTCTATGTGAAGATTGCATCTGTGGCTAATGCTACCTGTTCATCTAGGGGGGTTGGGGGTACATGGTGTTTTATACCCCATGGAGTTGCATTTACAACCCGATAAAGTTGCAGAATATTTACATGAGTTTTGTTTAGACTGAATATAAGTAATCTGGGTAGGAAAAGCATTTTCAAGAACCTCAAGTCACTTTTAAAATAAGCAGCCGTTTTACTCTTTCACTCCCTCACTCTCATCTGTTCGGTTCCCTCAATTGGGTTTCTGAGGCTGGAAGCTGTAACAGGATGAGACTGGCCGTCATCCTGAGAAACGGCTGGTGGGTTTGAACTGGCGGAGGTGCATGTGACTGCACCGCCAGAGCTCCCTGTTTACGGCTCAGGGGAACGCGTCTTAGATTGACTGCTGTACACCTGCTGTGCATCACCTCTTGCTTTCTCTCGTTGTAGGATGACAATGAAATTCCATTTACAGAGGAGGATTACCGAAGAAGAAAGCATCACCCTAATTTTCTGGATCACATAAATGCTGAAAAAATGGTCCTCAAGTGTGGGAAAAATGTAAGTCTGCACAAGTAGAATTATCAGGCTAAGGAAACTTCTTTTTCAGATGCCATGCAATGGGTCTTCTTGGTTACTGTCCTCAATTCCGGACAAACTAACAGCTTGACTCTTTTACTGAGGTCTACATAGGTAGGAAGGGCTCTGGTGGCACAACGGTTGATCATTTGGCTGCTGACTGAAAGGTGAGTGGTTCAAACCCACCCATTACTATCAAGTCAACGATGACTCATAGTGACCCAAAGCGTCACAGATCTGAACCTCCTGTCCTGCCCTGTCCTCACCGTCTCTCATCTCCCCGAGCCCATCGTTACAATCACTGTGGGTCACGTCCACCTTGTTGGGTCTCTTCCTCCTTCTCTGACCCTCCACTGTCCCAGCAGGATGTCTTTTCCCAAGGACTGCCCCTTCTCTAACGTGCCCAGAGTATAGGAGATGAAGCTTGCCTTTAAGGACAGACCTGGCACTTTCTTCAGTACAGACCTGTATGTTCTTTAGGGAGTCCATGGGTATCCAGAATTCTTCTCTAGGAGCACAACTCAAAGGCATGAATTGGTCTTTGTTCTTCTTTATTCATTGTCTACCTTTCAGATGGATAGGAGGTAATAGACAAGACCATGGCTTGGACCAGGCACACCTTAATCTCTAAACTAACATCCTTGCTCTTTAGCACTTTGGAAAGGCCTTGACAGCAGATGTTCCCAATGCAGCACATATTTTTGTTGCCTATTGGTCCAGTGATGAGGGTTTTTGTTTTCTTGATGGTGAAATGTAACTCACATTGAAGGCTGTAGTTTTTTTATATTCTGTAATAAGTACTTCAAATATTCATCTTCTAAAACCAAAGTTGTGTTATCTGCATTACGCAGATTATTGACGAGTCTTCCTTTGGTCCTGATGCCACATTCTTCTTCATGCAGGTTAGCTTCTCGAATGATTTGCTCAGCATACGATTGAATAGGTGTGGAGAGAGAATGCAGCCTGATGCACAGCTTAGAAAACCTGATTGAAACAGTCGCACCCTATCCTGTGGGGCCAGAATGATTGCAATAGACTTGAAGGCACACAGCAACCAGCGAGTGGCAGGCCCAGCCTCACTGCTATCCGTCAGATGGAGAAGGGGGTGGTAGGCTTGAGCTGAGGACCACACGGCCATCATTTCTTCACATGTTTGGGTTTTGTCCATCCACTAATCATTTTTAAGCATTTTACAATCTCATTCCATTTAAAATTAAAATTTTAGAATTCTTATGTTCTCATAAATTTATAAGAAATTTGGAGTTGGCTAGGAGTGGCATCCACTTGCCTCTGGAAACTCTGTGAACTTTGGGAAATGATGATAATTTTAGGAAGGTCTTTTGTTCACAGACTTACTATGAGTCGTGCTCGACTCAACAGCAGTTAACAACAACAACAATTACAGTAGAGGAGTTGATGCTGTCTATCCAGGCTTCAGAAAGGAACTGGCATTGTTGACAAACATGCTGTGTTGATGGTGTGACTGCCCCATGGGGAGGTATCCACTGTCCAAAGGCAGATTCTGGTGGTGAAGCCATAGTTGGGCTTACCTCTTCACGTCCATGACGCTTTTCCGTCTAAGGTACACCTGGCAGGAAAACTGCGGGGTACTAGTCATTCTGTGCTGACACCTTGTGGTCTCAGAGCTTATGACAGTCGTTTTGGGCCTGCGGGACCCTGTGAGTGGTTGGGAACCCTGCCCTAGCCTGTGCCTTCCTGACCAGGGACCCTGTGAGTGGTTGGGAAACCTGCCCTAGCCTGTGCCTTCCTGACCATCTCAGCCTTGCTCAAACCCACTGTTACCATCACTGTACCATTCCGTCTTGCTGAGGGTCTTCTACTTCTCTGACCCTCCACCTTTCCTAGCCTGATATATTTCTCCAAGGACTGGCCCTTCTGAGAACATGCCCAAAGCAAGTGAGATGAAGCCCCACCACCCTTGGCTCTATGAAGCATCCCACTTGCACTGTCTCCACGACAGACCTGTTTATTCTCTTGGAGCATACATGAAATACTCAGTATTCTTCTCCAACATCATAGTTCAAAGACATCAACTCGGGGAGCTCTGGTGGCCTAGTGGCAAGGAGCTGCAACTACAATCCCAGAGGCACACGGTTCGAATCCACCAGATGCTCTGCTGGGAAAAGGAGGGACAATCTCCTCCTGTACCAGTACACTCACACAAAAATAAAAAAAAAAATAAAAAGACATCAACTCTTCTGCCACCCTTAGTCCTTGTCCTACTTTTCAGAGGCATGGGAATTAATTGAAAAGACCATGGTTTGGATCAGGCACACCTTAGTCTTTAAACTGACATCGTTGCTCTTGAGCACTTTGAGGGTCCTTGACAGCAGATCTCTCTCCAGTGCAGCACACTCGTGGTTGAATGAAGGGCCCTGGTTACAACTTAGTGGAGGTCAGAGGCAGTTCAGGGGTGAGTGCTGGTGCTCCTTGCCCTTGGGAGAACCGTGTGTTCACGTACAATGAATAACACTCACCCACAGGTAATGCAGACAGTACTCTTGGGAACTAGTGCTGAGGGGCATTGCCTGTTCCTCCAAAAAGTGTAATGTGCACATCATCTGTGTGGAAGGGTCGCATTATCTCTGTCCTACACAATACACGTTGTTATGTACTGTTGAGTCGGAACTGACCCACAGCTGACCCTCCCCTGGGTTTTCAGAGGCATTCTCCCGTGGAGCACGGTTGGATCTGAACTGTGTACCTTCGAGTTGCCAGTGCAACTCCTTACCATCAGGCTGCCAAAGTCCCTATGCTAATTCAAACTTAACCACTAAAACCTGCTTTTTCTCTTAAAAGCCAAAGTTTATTTTTACTTACAAATGCTCAAGAGAGTTTAAAAAGTCCTAAAGGTCAAAGCCATGTTGTTTTAAAGAAGCGTGTGGTGAGGACGGGCCCGTCAGTGCGGCCTGCTTCCGTTCGCTCCGTCCTGGCCAGCACAGCGCCACGGAGTCACCTCCAGATGGAAACTAGACAGTTCTCCCCACTTGTGGCTTTTGTAAAAGCCCATCACGGGGGTAATAACGAAATCAACGCTTCCAACAGCGGCCATTCACATTGCAGAGCAGAAAGTGGTAGAATTCTGACCAAAGCAAATCCAGAGATCCTGTGTACAAATACAATTGGTGGAAAGTTGGTGGACTTGCAGATTCGATGTGAAAATGCGTCCAGCAGTATTGTCTGCCAGCTGGTGCCAAAGCCGGGACCGTGGTGTGACGTGTCTGATCTTTATGGCTGCGTGTTAACAGCAACAGCAAAGTCACCGGGAGGAAATACGCAAACCACTTTGTAACCACCAAAAGCAATCTCCTTCTATACCGGTAACAACACCCTCTCCCCCCACCCCCCTGTATTTTGCCTGATAGAGCAGAAAACTTGTAACTTACGTGGTGGCGGCCGGGCTGCAGTACGGGATGGAAGGTGGAGTCTTACACACTTTCTTCAAGGTAAGCTTTTCCAGAATGAAGAGCATCTTCAGGGGAGATTGTTGGGGAAGTATGATCACGTATGATGAAGGAGGGAGGGAGGTACTGTCTTCCCACATTAACATCTTGTATTCACAGTCTCAGATGCTCAAGAGAAGGATGGATCTCATCGTCTTCTCCGGGAAGGCTCTGCTGGAGAGACCAGAAAATGTAGTTCCGTCTTATGGAGACTACATTCTGGTGGGGTAGAGAAGAGACGAGCTAATAAATAAATAAGCCAGTACAGAGAGAGTATTTCAGAAGGTGACAGGTTCTGGGGTGAGGGGAAGGGAAGTAAGGAAACGGTGAGAAGAACATGCCCGGGGTGAACCTTGGGAGCTCTAGTAGTCCAGTGGTAAGGGGCTGCGCTGCCAACCTAGAGGCATGTGGTTTGAATCCTCCAGGCGCTGGGGTTGGGGGCGGGGTGTGACAGGTGCTGGGGTGAGAGGAGGGCTAACAGGTGCAGAGATTAGAGATGGGGCTGACAGGTGCTGAGATTAGAGATGGGGGGTGACAGGTGCTGAGATTAGAGGCAGAGGATGACAGGTGCTGAGGTTAAAGGTGGGGGTGTCAGGTGTTGAGGTTAAAGGTGAGGTGACAGGTGCTGAGATTAGCGGGGGAGTGAGAGCACAGAGGTAAGAGGTGGCGGGTGACAGACACTGGGGCTAGAAGTGGGAGACGTGTCAGGCACTGAGATTATAGGTCCGAGTGACAGACACTGGAGTTAGAGGTGGGAGGTGACAGGTGCTGGGGTTAGAGGTCGGGGATAGCGGATGCTGAGGTTAGAGGTGACTAGGTGTCAAGTGCTGGGTTAGAAGTGATGAGGTGACAGGTGCTGAGGTTAGAGGTAACAAGTTGGCAATTGCTGAGGTTAGAGGGTGACAGGCGTTGAGGTTGGAGATGACGAGATGACAGGTGCTCAGGTTAGAGGAGACAGGGAGCTGATCAAGCTCAGGTTTGAATTCTGTCACCGTGAGTGCTCTGTCTCTTACCCGGTGAGCTGGGAACCCAGTAGACCTCGTCCTTCACTGCAGAGCTTGCTGGCTCAACCTCTCCAGCTGCTCCGCTGGTTTTCTTGCGGTTCGTGGGGTGTTTGCTGGCCCTGCCCCTGCCGTGTTTGGAAGGGCGGTCGGTAGGACTTGGTAGGTGTGTGCGCGTGAAAGGAAGTGAGTACATAGGAATCCAGGAGCTTGGATCTAAGCAACTAGAAATCTGGAGTTCTCCTGGAGAGAGAAGTCAGAAGACGAAACGGTCGGGAGCAGAAGGTGCTAGCAAGATAGGAACTGAGTTTTGTTAGGAACCAAGTTTAAGTGGAGATGCTGAGTGTGCAGGTGGGTGTCTGTGCTGGAGGTCATCCTGGTGAGGGGGAGAAAATCCCGAGGAAGGGTTTGTTGCAGGGTCCTCGGGACGTGTATGGTATGTAGGGTTGTGGGAATGGATGGAGTCACTGAATAACATGGAGAAGACAACACACGAAGGGTGGCGCCTTGGAGCACACCTGGATTTGGAGGTTACAGGACCAGCAATAGGAAAGGAAGCTGAGAACGGGTAACAGGGAGGTCAGGGAGGAAACTAGAGGGTAAGGTCACACACTGAGTGAAAAAGAGTGTCTCTAGAAAGTGGGAAAGTAACCTACTATGTCAAACGACGTTACTGTTACTGTTAGGTGCTGTCGAGTCGAGTATAATGCAGAGACCCTGTGAACAACAGACCTGAGCCCTGTCCTGTCCTGCACCATCCTCACGCTTCCTGACACACTCGAGCCCATCGCTGTCGTCACTGTGTCAGTCCATGGTTGAGGGTCCCCTCCCTCCACTTTTCCAAGCAGGATGTTCTCCATGGAGTAGCCTCTCCTAACAACATACCCAAAGTCTGTGAGACGAAGCTTCATCACCTTTGTCCCCAAAGTCACTCTAGGTACACTTTGTCCAAGACGTATCTGTTTGTTCTTCTGGCTGTCCGGGGATATTCAGTGCTCTTCTCCAACAGCACAGCTCAAAGACATCGGTTCTTTTATCATTCTTAGTCACTGTCCAGCTCTGAACAGCCTAACAAGTGATAGACAAGAGCATGGCCTGAATATGGCACACCTTACTCCTCAAAGTGACATCATTGCTCCTCAATAATGTGGACAGGTCCCTGACTCCAGACTCCCAGTGCAGTATGTCTCCTGATCTCCTGACTGCTGGTACCAGGGGTGTTGATTGTGGATCAAATATACAAATAATGTAGTTGAGTTCAATAAGAATGAAGAATTGACCACTGTAGTTTTGGGAACAAAACCTTGACATGAATAGGTTCAGAGAGAACAAGTGAACAGGACTTGGAGGTGGGAAAGATGGAAAAGCTTCTCTGAGACTTTTCCCTTGAAGGGGGCAGGACGGGACAACAGAACCAGGATCTAGACTTACAGCCAAGAGACGGGTTGATTGGTTTAAGGCTTTGTTTTGTTTTAAATATGAGGGAGAAGAGAATTGAAGATAAGGTCAAGAAAACATTACCCTAAAAAAAAAAAAAAGAAAGAAAACATTACTCTGTGTCGGCTGTCCCTCACCCCCCAGTGTACCGAACGCTGGAATGTAAGCCACTGCCCCAGCCCCCCACGCCGTGTCCTCCTCCCTCTGCCCCAGCCCCCCATGACCTCCCTCTGCCCCAGCCCCCCATGTCCTCCCTCTGCCCCAGCCCCCCATGACCTCCCTCTGCCCCAGCCCCCCATGACCTCCCTCTGCCCCAGCCCCCCATGTCCTCCCTCCTCTCCACTCTCTACTTGGTGGTTCACACTCATGACTTGCCAGCAACCCTCAGACTCAGGTCTCCAGCCTGTCTGTGAGCTCCCGCTCTGTAGCTCCCACTGCCTCCTCGGCACCTCAGCTTGGATGTCTCCCACAAATCCAAGCCCTGCCTAGAGAAGAATGAAGAGGTAGTCCTCCTCCAGGACTCTCCAAAAAATGGATGTCCCTCCAACAGCTGCACTTGCCAGTGAGGTTTAAGCTGAGAAGACTGACACCGAGGTGCAGATACCGACTAGGGAGTTGGGCCTGGGAATTTGGAGGTCGTGGTGGAACGCAGGGGAAAGTCAGAACTCATCATCACCAAACGCCCAAGTTCTCTGGGATCAGCCTTCCTCTGCCCCCCAGCCCAGGCTAACCCAACCCCTCATGTCTGCCACTGTCTCCATCTCTGCCTCTGACTTTGTACCATTCCTCCAAGAAGCAAAGACAAGAGAACTGCTTAAAGTCCTTGAAGAGGTTCCCAAAGTCCAAACTAACTTCCAAGGCCCAGAGGTCTGCTGTGATCTTCACCTCTGCCTCCTTCACTCTTTCAGAGCCCTCTAAAATCCTCTAGCCCTGGACAGCTAGAGAGTTCAGAACTGCTGATTGGTTACTGGAGTACTCACTCGGGAGATGGAGAGATGGGGACGAGGCCGTCCGTCGTGTTGTTAGGTCCCATGACATTGACTGTGACTCCTAGAAACCCTCGGGACAAAAGCTCTGAGCCTGGCTCGATCCTGTGCCTTCTTCACCGTCTCTGCCAAGCTCAAGTCCATTGTTACAGTCTGTGTCAATCCACCTCCTGGATCTTCCTCTCTTTCACTGACCCTCCCCCTTTCCCAGCTTGATGTCTCGTTCCAGGGACTGGCCCGTCCTGATCGGATCCGCAAAGGACGTGAGGCAGTTTCTCCGTCCTTTCTGCTCAGGAGCAACCTGGCTGCACTTCGTCCAAGGCATGTTTGTGTGTTGTGTTTGCAGTCCACGAGCTGCTCAGTACTTTTCTCCAACGCTGTCATTCCCAAACATCAGTTCTCCTTTGGTCTGTATTCAGTGTACAGCTTTCACCTGCACCGGAAGCAATTGAAAATCCTGTGGCTTGAACCAGGCACCACTCAGTATTTAAGGTGATGTCTTTGCTCTTTAGCACTTTGAAGAGATATTTGATAGCAGAGCCCCCGCCAGTGTCATTCATCTTCTGATAACAGACCCCCCCTGTGTCATTCATCTTCTGATAACAGACCCCGCTGTGTCATTCATCTTCTGATAACAGACACCCCAGTGTCATTCATCTTCTGACAGCAGACGCCCCCAGTGTCATTCATCTTCTGATAACAGACCCCTGTGTCATTCACCTTTTGATAGGAGACCTCCCCCAGCATCACACATGTTTTGATAGCAGACACCCCACCCCCACTCCACCCCGCACATCTTTTGATTTCCTGACTGCTTCCACCGTGGGTATTGATTATGGATCCACATGAAAGGAAGTCATTGATAAGTTTGATCTTTCCTGGGACTCCCAAAAGTGTTACATCTAAACATCAAGAAGACAGAAATTCTTACCACAGGGTTGATAGACAGCCTCATGATAGATGGAAAAAAGAGGGAAGTTGTCAATGATTTCATCTTACTTGGATTCACAACCAACACCCTTGGTACCAGCAGTCAAGAAATCAGAAGACATGTCGCACTGAGGAAATCTTCTGTCAAGGACACCCCCCCCCCAAGGAGTAACAAGTCAGTTTAAAGACCAAGGTTCACCTGATTCAGGCTGTGGTCTTTTCAATTACTTGCTATGCAAAGGAAAGTTGAACAATGACAAAGAATGACAGAAGAGTAATTGATCCTCTGAGTTAAGGTATTGGAGGAGAGTACAGAATATTCACAGACTGACAAAGGAATAAACAGGCCTGTACTGGAGAAAATGCAGCCAGGATGCTCCTGGGAGGCAAGGATGGTGAAGCTTCATCTCACACATTCTGGGCATGTTATCAGGAGGGCCAGGGCCAGTCCCTGGCACAAGACATCACGCTGGGAAAGGTGGACGGCCGGCACGAGAAAGGAGGCCCTCAGTGAGATGGATTTTTTATACAATAACCAGGAGAATGGGCTTACGTAGATGAGCGATGGTGAGAATGGCACAGGTCAGGGCGAAGTTGCTGAGACGTACTCGGCTCAGCAGCACCTACCACCACCAGAAAAGGGTTCAAGTTCAGGCTCAGCGTCCCACGAATGGTGTGTTAGTCTCCCACCAGCGTTTCCACGAGGATTCGTGACCTCAGGTACATGAGGGCGTTGTTCTCTGTGTAGAGACCATGTCCAGTCATCCTGAAGGTGCCCTGTTGCATCCTAGCTTGTTTTAAGCTTCCCAGTGCGCAATCTGGAATGACTTCTAGGATTGGGCGATTCCTAAATCCTGCCAGGACTGGTTTCAAAGTCGCCTCTTCACCTACCCCAGTGGATCCTTTCACTGGGAAGCCCCTGGCTCTAGGCCTGTGTGTCTGCTGGGATAGTTCTTCTCATAAAGCTGAAGGAAACAGGATTTACTTTTCTCTCTTTTCAGACTGCGTGGCTGGGTGAGGTCCCTGCATTGTCAGTGTTTGGGGATGGGTCAAATGTCATTCCAGCAATTCACGTGCTTGATTTAGCAGGGTAAGCATTTGTCCAGAGAAACGCCTGCTCTCTTAGAGTGAATGGAAGAACGAGTTTGTCTATTAGAAACGTGAATTTGTTGAGCACTTACAAAGCCCTGGTGAAGGCTGAGGAGCCCCTGTGGTGCGCCGAGTCTGCATTCTGCCTCCAGCCCAGAGTCCGGCCTCGTGGCCCCGTGGCAGGCAGTTCTCTCCGTCACACACGGGGCTGCTGCTTACACATTGATTGCCAGGCCTTTCCTCCTAGCCTGCTTTAGTCTGGAAGCTCCACTGGAAACTTCATCAGGGTGGTCCTGCTGGTGCTTCAGGTACACGTAGTGTAGTTTCCAGATCCCAGCGACAAGCAAGCCCCTACTGAGGCCAGAAACCCCAAACCCAGCATGGGAGGGTCAGCTGACACACAGTGACCCTGGGGGACAGAATGGAGCTGCTCTGTGGGGTCCTGAAGCTGCAGGTCGAGGGACGTACATGGCCTCAGTGGACAGAACGGAGCTGCTCTGTGGGGTCCTGAGGCTGCAGGTCGAGGGGCGTGCACGGCCTCAGTGTTCTCCTGCAGCACTGGAGCCTTCCATCCTCTGCTTAGCGTCCGAATGCTTTACCCACTGCACCACAGGAGTCGGGATGAGAGTAGTGCAGGCGGACTGACCGCTGGTGGGCAGCTCCAGTCGGGATAAGAGTAGCATCGTCACGATAATGGCATTGCGAGGACTGAGTGTGACAACAGCCCCTGCAGGTCCCTGGGCCCAGCCTGGGCCCAGAGCCCAGTGTGCAGACGCACTGGCCACCATGCGTGGGAGCGCCTGGCTCCAGCCAGCTGGCCATCTGTGGCCACAGCAGCTCCTCTGAGTCTGCTTCCTACCTGGTGGACACTGGCCCTGTGTCCCTAAGTCAGCAAGCTGCTGGGGCAGGTGCCTTACTAACGAGGTCCCCAGGTGCCCAGCACCCTCTTTGGAAGACTATGTGGGGTTCTGGGCAGGGCGGAGTCCACAGGAGGTGCCCCATAGCGAGTGTCCACCTGTCTGCTCACCTGTCACTTGGAGTCCAAGGGAGGTCCTTGACCTCTGTGCCTCATCAGGCTAGACAGAGGTGACGATGGTGGGGTCAGGGACATGAGCAGAAATGATGACAGCAGGTTTGGGAGGTACACAGAGGTGACCACAGTGGAGAGGGAGGTGACTGCACAGGTCGGAGGCTCAGGCACAGTTTTGGCTGGGCCCAGGGCAGTGTTCTGGGGCAGCCACTCTTGTCTGTCCTTTGTCCCCATCTTCTGACTGTTGCCCTATCGACCCGCAGGGTGATACAGAATGTCCTGGACCACGTGCCGAAGGTGCACTACTTGGTGGCGGTGGACGAGTCGGTGAGCACCCTGGAGGACATAGTCAAGGTACGCCTGTGCTGTTGGGGTGTCTGCAGGTCCTGAATCAGCAGGTGAGCAAGGAGGGGGTCCTGATGCAGAATGCCTGCACACCCACTCTCCCAGGCAGCGACAGTGCCCCCAAACCAGATGGTCTTTCCGGGTCTGTGTGCGTGTGGGCTCCAGGCACAGGTGGACCCGGAGATGGTGAGTTCACCGAGGCACGGCTCTACGGCAGGGCGAGGCACCAGAGACTGTGGTGTCTCACCATGTGGGGGAAGGACGGCAGGCCCCTCCGGCGGGGGAAGGACGGGCTGACCCCTCCTGTGGGGGAAGGACGGGCAGACCCCTCCTGGGCGATTCACTGCCTCTGAAGACCTCCTGGAGGATCTGCTATAGTCAGTGCCGACTCAATGGCAAGCAACAGCAGTATCAGTGATGTTCAGGGAGCTGAGCTGGCCTTGTGGTAAAAAGCTGTGCTGCCATCTCAAAGGCATGTGGTTCAAACCCACCAGCTGCCCCATAGGAGAAGGATGGGCAGTCTTCTCCCTGGTGTCTTCAGCCTCTGAAAACCCTCTGGAGGGCCAGCTGTGGTTCGGTTCTGATCCGAAGGCACGCAGCAGCAACGGCAGCAAGAGTTGTGTTCCTCTCCTGCACCTTGAGCTCACCGCTTGACTGGTCATGTCCACGGCTGCTTGGGGGAGAGAATGGCCACTGTCCTCCTGGGAACTTACAGCCTCAAAAGCCCCACTTGAGGGTCAGCTGTGAGTCAGTTCCAGCTTGTTGGCAATGATTTAAACCTGTAAATGTGCATCCATGGCATGAAAAATCTTGAGTATTGTGAGAATGATCAAACCAGGACCCAGAGGCCTGAAGTGAGCATAGCAGCTGGAAAAGTGGTGCCAACACAGAGGCCTCACAAACAGTATCTACGAAGCGCCATGCAGCGTCAGTGCCCAGTCCGTGCCATCCTCTGTCCTTCCCGAGTGCACCACTGCTCCAGCCACCCCAGCAGACCAGTGGGAGGTGCAAGGAGGGAGCTAAAAAGGCCAAGAAGCCTTGGGAGGCGGGAAGGGATGGGCTAGAAGGACTCACGGAGATGAGAATCACAGGGCAGAAGTGGGACGAATGAGCTTCTCAGGTCTTGGGTGCCATCCAGTCCACACCTCATATAGCAAGTCTGTGGGCAACAGATGGAACCCTGCCCTGCCCACCCTCACAGTCGCCTCTGCACCTGAGCCATTGCTGGCTCGCTGTGTGCGTCCATCGCTGGCTCGCCGTGTGTGTCCATCGCTGACTCGCCGTGTGTGTCCATCGCTGACGCGCCGTATCTGTCCACTGCCTTGAGCGTCTTTCTCTCTCTCACTGGCCCCCGACTCTCCCAGCGTCATGTCCTTTCGCAGGGACGGGATCCTCCTGACAGCATGCCCTCCTGACCATCTCACCGTCCTTGCCTCTAAGGAGCACCCCAGTTACACGCCTTCCAGATTCCTCCACGCCATACCTGCTTGTTCACTTGACAGTGCATGGGGTGTCCAGGATGCTTCTCCCAAAGCACAGCTCAGAGGCCTGGATTCTTCTTCGTTCATCTTCAGTGTCCAACTTTGATGTGCATATGAAACAATTGTGAAGACCACAACTTGGACCAGGCAAACTTGTTTAGACTTGAGCATTTGAAAGAGGGCCTTGAAAACAGATTTGCCCAATGCAAATATACAGGCATTGTCATTAATGTCATGAAACAAAATGTGTATGGACGGTTGAATGGAAAACCAATTTTCTTTGTAAACTTTCACTCAAATCACAATAAAAATTTAAGTAAAATATCTTTAGATAGATAGATGGACAATCCACTCCTGTGCAACTTCCTGCCTCTGAAAACCCGCTGGAGGGTCAGCTATGGGTCGGTTCTGACGTGACAACAAATATGCATGTGTACGTAGGTCTGTACGTGTGTGTTTGAACACTGTAGTTCGAATCCTCCCGCTGAAGAATGAACAGGCTCCACCCAAGCCATTTCCTGTCTGAAAACTACTGGGGGGAGGGGGGGACGTGTCAGCAGTGGGTTGGTTCTGATCTGATAGCACACAACAACAAAACCACCTCTGTGCGTGCACGTGTGCACG